CGCGACCAGAAGTGGCACGACAAGCAGTACAAGAAGGCGCACCTGGGCACGGCGCTCAAGGCCAACCCGTTCGGCGGCGCCTCGCACGCCAAGGGCATCGTCCTCGAGAAGGTGTAAGTGCCGCCCGGCCCCGCCGCGTGGCCGTCTCCGCGGAGGCGGCGGCCGCTAACGGGGGTTGGAGAAGAGGGTGCCGCTTCAGAGCCACTGTAAAGTAATACGGTAACTCGTAGCATTAGTTGTCTGTATTCCCAGGGGTTTCTGCTGATGTGTTTTCCCATGCTTGTGTTTCAGCGGCGTGGAAGCTAAGCAGCCCAACTCTGCCATCAGGAAATGCGTCCGAGTGCAGCTGATCAAGAACGGCAAAAAAATAACAGCTTTTGTGCCCAACGATGGTTGCCTGAACTTCATTGAGGTGAATGGTTTTATAAAAGTTGTAAATGAAAGTAAAGAACTACAGAATTGATCGAACTGGGCAAGATGAGGTTCACGGCATTTTGAACTGTGTGTATCTTAATTCTCTATCTGCAAAAGCAGATGGGAGAATGCCAGAGGAGCTTTTGTACTTCTCACTGGCTAACTTTGCTGCAAGCTGAATGTCTCAGCTTATTCTTCCCTTCTGCAAAACACTGAAGGGAATAGTGTCCCATAACTTACGTGAATCAATCAACGTCCTTCACTTCCCTGTCCTCCCACCCTTTCCTTGGGAAGTCTGTGGTGTGGCCCAGCTTTAATGCAAGTTGATACAGAAGGGTACACAAGCCCAATGTCTGCAGCTCTCTAACTGCCCTGTCTTTCATTCCAGGAAAACGATGAAGTCCTGGTGGCTGGTTTTGGTCGCAAGGGTCACGCTGTGGGTGACATTCCTGGAGTCCGTTTCAAGGTTGTCAAAGTAGCCAACGTTTCTCTGTTGGCCTTGTACAAGGGCAAAAAGGAGAGACCAAGATCATGAACAGAAATTGAGCTGCCAAGAATATCAATAAAATTTTTGATTGGAAAAACTCCTGTGTGTGCTATTTAAGATGGCTTATGGTGGCGTGTTTTCTTGTTTATTTTTTAATAAAAACCTTATTTTTGTCTCTTAAACCAAGATTTTAAACAGTTCGGGGAGGATTTTCTTCTCTTAGCATTAGTCCGGCATCTATAGATGAAATATATAAATACTTAACATTTGAAAGAAAATGCAATTTCTATGAGAGACAGCAAGACCAGATCTGTCCCTGTTAGGAGATGCTTACTGTGGGTCATTTGTTTTAAAGACAGGCAACAAATTTCAGCTTTGTAAAATATCACTGAACTCTACCAAGAAAAATGAGTGGATTTTTCTGGAGTAGAGGGTGTTTATACTACTTTAGACCAAGTAGTTCTTTTTGTGCTAAGTTCCTTTAGAGAACTATGGGGTTTTTTTTGTTTGTTTTAAATCTGAGGTACTTGATTTTGCTGATCTGTTGGGCAGTTGACAGCTTGAGAGCAGATAGTGCTTGAGAAACATCTGTACTAATTCCAGATAGTTCTACATAATTTGGAACTTGATTGCAGACTTTCAGAACAAACAGGCACCTGGCTGATGTAGCTGGATTTTAGATTTGTCTCTTCTTACCGGTCAGAAAAACTTCTTATAGGAATAGAAATGAATTTCCTGCTGCTAAGTTAGCCTGTCCCCTCTGCCCCTGCCAAACTCTAGTATTTCTGTGGGATAATTTAATTCACCCGGGGTCAAAACATCCCTTTAAGCAGCAAAGGCAGAAGAAGAAGAAATTACATACATATTTGGAGAACAGCCTGTCTCAGGTTGAAAGTGGTCACTGGAAATGTTGAGAGTAGCCATGTATTCATGGTATTCAAACAGGAACAGCAACTTTAGTTCCTAGTGTTAACACACGCAGCACATGACACACAATTGGTCAGGTTTAGGGCTCAAAGAGATCATGAAACAATCCAATCTTCTCCAGACCTACTCAGCCTGAAGACCTTTACCCAGTTGCTTTCATGAGAGATGTAAATTAAACCTAGCTTGACTTAACAAGTTGCCTTGATGTGAAGATACCAGTTTCTTTTGGTTCATTCCAGATGTTTCCTGTCATCACTTAACTGTTGTGTTAGTGACTTCAGTGCATCTTTGGTTTTGAGCAAGGTTTCTTGGCTTTATCTTTGCTAGACAGAAAACATTTTGCAAATAGAACACCTGTGTGTGGTTTAAGAGATGTCTTGTGCTGTAATCAAATACCTGAAAAAGGGAGCTTTTCATAGACTCACTTTTTTTTTAAATCTTGAATGTTCATTCAAGATTCTCTGGTTTTTTTTTTCAGCATTGACCTATAACAAGGATGCTGGATCTAACAGAACACAGAATAATAACTTGGCCTCATCAACAAAGAGGCCAAATTCCCCCTCCCTTAGCCTTTACGTCGCTGTTACGTTGCTCTGTTCTGCAGATGATTGTTTTACCTAAATTTAGCCACTGAAAATACTTCTTGCACAAAGCTTCTGCAGTGGAGGGCTGGGTTCTTTGTTTCATATTAGAGCTATTTGATGCAATGGAATACTCAAAATATTTATTTGGCTGAAGTTAGAGCATAAACAATTCTCACATTATAATCACGACTCATCTGTGTTCATCTGAGAGGCTCTGCTCCAGATAGTATTCAACTAATTTATATGAAAACAAAATAAATTCAAGAACAGATTGAGAATCTCTGCACTGAATATTTTGTAGTTTAGTCATGAGGGAATTTGTGCGATCTGCGTTTAAATCCTTGCTTCCAATCAGGCACAAACTTGGGTTTCCCATAGCCTTGTAACTGCTGTCAAAATGATGGCAGTTTGGTTGCGGTTCCTCTTCCAGCTTCGGATAGAGGGAAGACCGGAAAAGATTCTGCTTGTAGTTCCCAAATTAAGACTCCCTCTGTGGCAACTCGACTCCAACATCCGTTTAACTTTCAAGGTGAGGTCTTACCTCAGTGCTGCGGCAGTTGGGTGCACGCTGCTTCCGACAGCCCTTCGGATCAGTGCTGATCTCGGTTTCTTGAGCATCCAAGAGGAAGCCAGTCAAGGCATTTGTGTGTGTTCCTTAGGGCAGATTCCCAATCAGTGGAATGCAGTTTGAGGATTCTGCCAGCTTTGTGCTCTGCGCTGCCCTCCGAATGCCAAACAAGGGGGCAGAGAGACAGCGGTGTCTCTCTGAACCAACTTTTGCAATTAGGTTTTGTGTCAGCAGCAGAAGAGGAAGGCAAGAATAAAGAAGGTAGGTGCATTCGGTGTCCTTTTTTGGAAAGAAGGGAGGAAAAAGAGGCAATGTGGTCTTTGGGGCAGAGAAAAAAGGGACTGAGACAGCAAAAGCTCTGGGAAGAAGAGTGCTGAAAAAGCAGCGGAATTTCTGCTACCGCGACACAGCGGGAGGTAGGGAAGAAACAACATGATTTGCAGCATGGTTTACATGAGGAACTAATATGAAGAGGCTTGTTGAGCCTCTGCCAGGTTTGGATATAGTTGAAATCCAAGTACATGTGCAGTTCAGTCAGCCAGCACACAGGAGCATAAGCCAAGAGCAGAGGTTCAACAGATGACACCAACAGCTATGCCCTCGCCCCCACACCCAGTATCACTAGTCCCAACCCTGCTGTTTTCTTTCAGAGCAGAGAGTTAGCTGATGGTACTTTCTTTCATGTGTATTCTGGTTGTCTTCTCTTTTCATCCATTATGCAGGTGGATTTTGAGGATCTTCCAGATCCCAGTATTTCTGACAGCTTCACTGAATCTAAGCCGCTGTTTACGCACAGTGAGTTCAACCATGCTCTTGTGCATCCCAGCTCCCAGCTATGTCCTTAGGCTGCTGTGGCTCTGCCTAAAGCATCTGTGAAACACGGAATAAACTCATAGGCTGTAGTAGAGATGCACACATATTCCTCTACAGAGCCTCTGAATTCTAGCCCTAATCTAGGAGAAGAACAACATAAGCAGACAGGCAGGTTTGAACGAATTGGCTGCCAGTAGTACAGCTGTATTTATGAATACTTTGCATCAAATTAGGTGTAGAGTCACATGTGAGAAAAACACAGCTACTCAGTTACATGCAAAAAGAGCATTGTCAGCTTTTTTAGAGGTGAGTCTTGATGACAGTTTGATCGAATGGTTTAGCAAACCTGACCATTGAATAGAACCATAGGCTATGGTTTGGAAATTGCTGGTCCAACCCCAGTTCCTAGTGGTAGAGACAGATCTTAGGTAGTTTAATCTAGAAATCTTGGTCTTAGGTATGCAAATGTTATCACAAACAAATTGTGTATAAATTCCAGGTCCATTTCTACAGGAGCTACATTATTTCAGCTCAGAGAAACAAAACAAAATTAGCCTGTTTTGGGTATTTTAACTTGCTTTTCTTGGTTAGAGAAAGATAGGAGTGTGGATTCCAATGACACTCCACTGGAAATGGATTCCACTGCAGCCAGCAAAAAGTACTAATAAAGTCACCGGATTATGTAACTTTTCAAATGCTAAAGTCAATCTAGTCAAGCAAGGCACAGGAAGAGACACAAGGCTTCACTGGGAAGGCAGACAGGTCTCTATGAGCTTCAGAGCTGGTTTCTGCAGCACATTGTTGTGAGATAGTCTTGCCACTAGATGTTGCTGTCAGCACGATGAGGGGGAAAGCTAAAAAATAAAAGGTGGGAACCAGAAAGCTGTTTGTGTGCACTTTAACAAAGGAAACCTTCCACTTGGAAAAGTCTAGCTTTTAATTGATCCAAGGAGTTTCCTGTTAGGAGAACGGGATACTTTCTGTTCCCTTGTTGCCTTCAGGCACCCAAACAGTGGCTACCTGCCATATACAAACATAAGAGTTTATGAAGCAAATTCAGCTGAAGCCAGTGTTAGGCTGCAAAGCGTGGCAGGGAATACAAATGTTTATTACTGCATGAGCCATTTGTACCTTTAACAGATTTGGTTGATTTAGGAGCTTCTTATAAATCCCTGCACTGCAGCAGAAGTGAGAATATGCTATTATTATAATGAGGGGATAATATTAGCTACAGTGAGTGGGAGAATGCACGGAACTGGGAGCAGGGAAAGAAAAGCATGGAGTTAAAGTTAATAGCACATTTTGAGCTGGATTTTATCATTTGCTTTATGAACATGTTTACGAGGTCACAGATCTAATCAACACTCAGGCATCACGATTCTTCCAGCAAATAAATGCTTCTGTGGATTCTGTCACAGCTTAGGAATAACTTGTGTTATCTGGATGCCACGAAAAAGAAGTCCAAAGAGGATGAGTCAAGCCAAACCTAATCATCAGGTCACTATTAAAGTGGTTTTAAGCATAAATAATAAGCCTCACAACTATGCGTTACAGAGCCCAAGCCTTCTGCAGCAGAAGGGAATCCAAGGCAGTTCCAAGAGCAGAGATGAACTTGTCTGACAGACACCACAGTCCATCTACTTTATTAGCAAAACACGTATAAATATTAAAGCACTTGGCTAATCATAAGAAGCCAGTCAGAGCTGACTGACTACTGGACGCAAGAGAACGAACCTTGTAAAGGGAAGCCATCAATGCTTGGCCAAGTGAGGCCTGGCTGTAACCCACCGAAATTCAATTCAGGGTTTGATTTGGATCAGGTGCAAGGGAAAAAAGGATTTGTTCATTTCTGCATTGTGCCGAATGCTTCCTGCACAGGCTCTGGCAGCGCATTCCCACGCCGGGGGCTCCAGCTGCCTCCGACGCCATGGGGCAGCAAACGCGGCGCTTCCCTCAGCAGAGGCAACAGTCTTCAAGACAAGTCTCCATATTACAGAATCACACAGAATCACAGACTGGCTGAGGTTGGAAGGGACCTCTAGAGATCATCTAGTCCAGCCCCCTGCTCCAGCAGGGACACCCAGAGCATGGGGCACAGGGCGGTACAGTGAAGAAGTTCCTCCTCACATGGAGGAGGTATATATGTATGTATTCCATGGTGGTGTATTCCAGAAGAGCCAGTCCCAGCGCCAGGGACCGCCTCTGGTGATGCAGATGACTCTTGGTGCATATCTGCTCACAGAGATCCCTCTCTAGCTACAGTCTAATCACAGGGAACGAAGCACCTCAACCTCCCTCTGGTCCCTGAGGCCAGCAGAACCACGGAGAGGCACACAGCCTAATCCCTTTAGACAGGGCTACCTCTTCCAGTGTCTTGTACTAACAACATTACTGAAAAATAATACTACAGAAAAGCACATTGTTTTCTAGCAGGCTTGAGAAAAAGCAGGTGTCTGAGGCAAGGTTCTGTGAAATCATCCTTTTGTGCTGTAGCAGTAAACTGCCTCCTCATTTTCAGCAGGAATTCTTCAACAGGTGGCAGTTGCAACAAACTCTCAAGTGGCTAAGTCAAAGTTTCCATGTGGTGCAGAGCTTTTTTAAGGACACTTTAAGATGAATTAAACATAGAGATAATAAGCATAACACCTTACTAATTCTTCCTGAGCATTCAATACACAGATCTCTTCTGGGTTATTCTCCTGTTATGGCTGCCCTACCTGGCTTTCCAAATCTAGGAATCAACGATACAGCCACTTGATGCAGCAGTTTTGCTACTATGAACTTTATCTACACCTTTTCTTCTAGATAATAAAAACTTTCTGCTGGGACACCCAGAGCAGGGGGCACAGGGCGGCATCCAGGTGGGTTTGAAGATCTCCAGAGAAGGAGACTCCACAGCCTCCCTGGGCAGCCTGTGCCAGGGCTCTGTCACCCTCATGGGAAAGAAGTTCTTCCTCACATGGAGATGGAACTGCCTGGGTTTAAACTTACACCCATTGCCCCTTGTCCTGTCACTGGCCACCACTGAGAAGAGCTTGGGCCCTTTTTGGGTTGAGTTGGCCCATCCTACATTCTCCTTTCATGTACTTATACATATCAATCAGATCCCCTCTCAGCCTTCTCATCTCCAGGCTAAAATTTTGCTGAACTTCACAGACTTGCAACAGGAATTGCTATTGACTACTTCACCATACTGAGCTTTAATTAACTAAGTGCATTTGCTGGTGTGAAACAAGCATTTAATTTAACCCAGGGAATGTTTCTTTCAGTAACCAAAACCAACCAACTACAAACCTTCTGGCAGACCAGATTGGGGGTTAAATTCTAACCTGATTGTGCTGATCATGTAGTTAGTAACTGCATTCCAAAGAACAGCATATTTTTGGCTTAGTTAAACACACAAGATTTGTTCTTCTGGCTGGTTCTTGTAACCAAGGGCAGGTATGAGTCAGTTCTCTCAGAAAAGTCCCCCAAAGCAACGGCCCTCAATATGTCCTCCCAGATTAGCAGGGATGAACGACTGAGCAAACTCAGAAAGCTCGGCATCTAGAAATGTTCTTTCTTCTATTCTGCTGTATTTCAGACAACGCATTTAGCTGAAATCCAAAGTTAAGATCTAAGAATCTTTTATTTAGTGCCATCCTGGACAAATTTCAAGAAAATAGTGGCATTGATGATGATATTGCTCTGCTGCTTAGATATGTATGGTGCTAAAAGGTTAAGAATTGCAGTGGGGCGGGGGAATTTTCAGGCTGCTCAATGCATTTCATGCTATCAATTATCATCATCATGTCTAAGTAGCTGTAAGAACAAAGTCAGGACACTGCAGATGAATGTGGAAGTGCTTTATCCTCAGGAAGGAAGCAAGGGAGGGACAGCTTCAGAAGCTGGGAACAAGCTGAGTTTCTAGGCAAGCGAATGTGTGGTTGGAGGATGTCTCGGAGGTAGATTGATTGCTGGCTGAGGATGTCCATGAGTTAGAGTGTGACTGTCAGGGTACTGACAAAGCAGCATCCTGCTGTGTGCAGCCATCCATTAGACAAGTGCCTAGGGTCGTCTCTGACAGAGGAAATCTTAAGTTCAGTACAATCCACAATGTCTTGTCCAAATAAGCCTCAATTTTGTTTAAAAGTGATAAATTAAGGCAGAAAGCAGTATGATGCATTGAGAATTCTTGCACCTAAAAGAAAAAGAGTTCTTGCTTTCTTACCTACATAGAAATTTCTTTTTTTCTTGTAACTCTTCAGTGAAAGAGGAAAAGAGTAAAGAGGTGCAGAGGAATGCCGAGGGAGTGGGAAAGGCGACTGAAGTCTATTTTTCCAGACTCCTTCCTATCTGCTTTCTCTTGTCTCTAATTACAAGCTGCAAGTTACACAGACTGATGCACAGTGTGTCATGGATGAGATGCTGACATGCAGAGTAGGACAGTGATATTTCAGGCTTGCAATAAGCAGTCTTGTCTAAAGTGGAGAAGCCCAACTGCTCAACCTCCATTATGAATAGTAGTGCCATGCCACAGTTTCAGATCCCAAGACAAAAACAGGAAGAGTTTGTCTCCGAGAAATAGCTAGGAAGCTAGAAATACACATTTTGCACAGCAGCGTCTTGGCAGCTGAAGTTTCTCCAAGTCTAAAAATTGGTATTGAAAATAGTACTCGAAGGTGCTCAAGAGTCACTATTTCTTTCCTTATCAAGGATCCTCTCTTGTCCAGGATCCTAAACAATGAAACTAGCATTCCAGCTATCAATTATTCCAAGCCCCAAACCACTCTACGTTTGACGATTGCATTCTACTATTTATGTTCTTTAAAACTGAAATTTCCTCTGTATATTTGACGCACAGCACCGTGCCAGGTAACATGTGTGATCTTGCAAGGGAAGGAGCGTGGCCGCTGCTCAGATGTGCCGAGGCAGCAGTCAGCCCCCGTGGTTTAGATGAGCGATTCCATCGGGTCCTTCCGCGTCCCTGATCCTCAGGCCAGCAGAAGCTGATTCAGACCTGGGTGTAAATGAAGCCACCTGAGGCCAGAGTGAATTTTGCCTGCGAGCAGGGGGAGGCAGTACGGCGAGGCAGTGTGCTGGGCAGAGGCAGGAGGAGCTGGCATGCAGCTGCCTGCAAATGCTGAGAATGCCTTAGTGCTTTTACTCCTGTGTTTCACTGCAGCACAAATGAAGATCACAGAGCAGGCATGAACACTTAACCCTCTAAATGTGGCTCCTAAAACTGTTATCTGTTTTCCTCCTGCTCCATAAATCTCCCTTAAATATGAGAATGGGATCTGGATGCAATTATTAAGCATATGTTACCCGAAGTGTTAAAAAGGCAATGTATTTGCTGTCCTGCACAGGAACAGAAAGCCGTATTTCAAAATTCAAAAACAGATTTTTTTTTTTCAGATTATGATCCAGAATGGGATAAGTGATATGCTCTCATTATTAATTCCAAATGACTGGCAAAAGAATTTAACTGCAGCAATGGAATTTTGAAGACTGTACTGTATTTCAATCCCCCAATAACATATGATGCAAGTTAAAAATATGCAACCAATCAAAATATCTGAAAGCCAAGAATTTGCAGTCCTAGGCATTTTACATCTCCAGCTCTGATACCCTATACATTGGAGTCAGTACGCAAGTGACATATTGCAGAAGATACAAAGTAAAATCCATAATTCCTTCTCAACTGCTCAGGACTTGTGTTCTGGTTTATACTACAAATAAAATGTGATTGGGAAGGAATCCAAGATGACTTATAGGAAGTTACTTCTAACCTGTTTTTCACTGACTGCACTACTGTGCAGTTTCTACTTACTCAAAATTCAACAGCTATCAGGGGAGGTTTGCATAAGGGCTGCAGGATGGGGACTGAACTTGTGAACAACTACTAGTACAATGAGAAATACTAATCGACTACAACAGTAACTCCCTCAGGGTATGGCACAGCTTCCTTTGGAGGCAGTGAAGAAGGAAAAAGCCAGATGTTCTCATATCACAGCATGAGGCATCATGAACTCTAGAATTGTACATGCTTAGTCAGATGTGGACTTTAAGTTATCTATTTGTCTGGAATCTTGATTTTGTTTGTTTCCTGAGGCATGATGTACAAGGAATATTCTCAGCAAAGTATTATTCAGTCCTGGGACTAGTGCCATAGGACGGGATACAGTGTGTGCACGGAGCAGGCAGCAAAGTGCAACACACAGGAGGGCCCACATGTCAAAGCAAGGCACAGAAGGTGCTCCCTAAGCAAATCAGTTCGAGTCCATGCACTGATTGCTACAGGTGTAAACCACACATTAAAAGTGTTTTCCTGCACGTGTCCTCACACAAGGTGCAGACTTTTCTAGAAACATGATTTTTAGTAGGTACTTCTACTAGATTCAAACCTCAACATTTCAGTTCTACATCAAGGAAACACAGGTTTATACATTTGTGTGAGGTCTTGTTATGGCCACAACCCCAGGAAAACAAACTTTAAGTGGTCAATGCTATCACAAGGGAGTTCATGTCTTGGTGACACTTCTTGCACCTGCAGGCAGCTCTTACGTCTTTAGATGTAAACAGGCGAACTCTTGCCAGGAAAAGGCTCTCAACAGTTGTCTTTCCAAGTTGTGCTGCTTACCGCTCAGCAGGGATTCCTTTGGTCTGTGTTTGATTCCCAGGAAAGGCTGCAGTAGCGTTCCTTCATCTAACCATAATCTGCCCTTCAGCTCAGAGGCCTGAAGTGGGGACAAGAACAGGAGAAGGAATGAAATTCAAACCACTGCAGCGGAGTTATGCTAGGTCGCACTTAACCCGTACACCGGAGCGACCACCACAAAATGCAGTGACGTAGCAAATACAGACCCTGATGCATCAGGGACCTCCTGAGAGCCACAAAGGGTGATTGCAGCCTGTCAAGGGCATTTCCCAGTGCAACCTTTCAGTGCAAAGTAAGAAAAACAAGGAGGCAATAAGGCAGCTCTGTAAGAAACTGCCAAAATGTGAGTCCTAACTGACTGGAACCAAGATCTCCAAATGAGAAACTCATTTTTTTACCAGTTATCTATCTGATGTTCTTCTTGGAGAAGGGAGTGGGGAGAGAGAGAAAAAAAGGTGATTTACTTCTCTCTTACCTTTCAGTTGCATCAGCATCTGTACTCTGCTCAGAGGCTAATTTTGCATAACTCAGAGAAAGATTTAGACCCACAACTGGGCCCACAATACTCAGCCATGATGCAATGTAATTTGTCTGTCTAGAAAACAAACAAACAAAATATTACTCCATACTTCTCTGAACTGCAGGTATATCAGACAGTCATAAAGTAATTTCAAATGAGGCTATTCTTTCACTTTCTCTGTATCAAGGCTATTTTATTTTTTCAGCTTTTACATGACAATCCAGAATTTTATTCCACTTAGACCAAGGGAGTTGTCTTGATCGTATCTATTTAACAGTTGCTCTTGCCTTACACCCACCACATAAACCTTCACAAAGCAAAACTAGTGTTTCTCACCTATTCTCTTTTCGAGAGCTGGCCAGTACAGCAGACATGAATTCATTAGTCCGGCAAGGATGCAGGACAAAAAAGGGTTGCCCAAGTAAGGGATGCTCCTAAGAAAAAAAATCAGCAGTTTTATTGTTCAAAACAAGGCAACAGAAAAGATAGTTTGCATAGGAAAAAAGACACAGCAGTTCACTTAAAATATATATATATATTTAATTTCAGATTTTAACCCACATTGTTCTTTTAATGATAAAGTCATTGGCAAATTAATGTTTGAGCACATATTCTCTTATCTAATCCAATCGGGTTATGTCACAGTGTTAGTTAAAATATAAAGGTTTTCAGAGCATCTCAAGTTACCTGTATCAGCACTACCTGAAGGCAAGTAGCCAAAGCTACCGTGTAAACAAGGGTTTGATGAAATGGAGAACATAAAACAAAGAAGCTCCACCAAAAAGCTCCACACAGCTTTGATTCTTTGTCCTTGGATCTTGTCAGATAATGCCAGGAAGTAAAATTTAAGTAAAATTTAAATGCCTGTGAGGTAATGCAAGAAGGAACAGCCATTCGAACCACTTTAACTTCCACTAGATGATCCCATCCTCATTTTAGGCTAGACTAGTAGAAAAGGTCCTAAAATCCAGTTGTCTCTCAAGAACCCCAGCAAAAATCAGCCACAAGGAAAAAGAAATACATCTAGTAACAATTAAGCTTGCAGTCTTCCTATAGACAGACAGACAGACTTTCTGTGCTCCTTTCCACTTTCACACTGCACATGACGCCACTGAAAACTCAATCCAATGCTCCATAAAGCTTTCACTTCCATCTCCAAGAGACACTCGGACAGAATACGTGTCCTGACTGTGCTCAGTGCAAACCACAGGAGCGATCTCATCTGCCCCTGCACTGGTGGTACCAGCAGAGCGGGACATCTGTCTCACACTCTCCGCACGAGGCAAGTGATTTTCCTTTCATGCTGCTGAGGTCACTGCTGCTGCTGCAGCACCAACATAAACACATCCCACCTCATGCCCACACTCACTAAGGAGCATTTAATACAGCACCAGGGGGCATAGGTGGCAAGCGATTCCGGAGAAGACGTCAAATCTGAAACACCGCGATAGCCAACTACAGCTGAACCCAGGCTGTGCTCAGTTGTCACGAGGTCCAGGGCTGTGCCAGAGCCAAGAGGCACGTGGTACAAGGCAGAGGGGTGAGCAGAACTGGCCATGGACCGTGACTGCGAGACTAACAGGATCACCACCTCCATTTGGTGTGGTGCCTCTTGTCGAGCCGTGTCCAGTGGGCTATGCTATTCCCAAGGGCCACCGCAGACACTGCCTCTGAGGACTGATGAAATGGATGGTTTCTTCTGGGTAAAGGCCCTTTTCCTTAGCTGTTCTCTTTGTGTTGGCTCCATCTCCGGATGGCTAAGAAGAAACTAAACTGAGTTGATGCTCCTGGAGGAGCTGCCTCTGAGCAGATTGGTGCAGCTGCTGTCAGACTCCAGGGGTTCTGTGACTGCATTTTATAGCCCTTCTGCTATACCATAAAAACTCCTTCTCCGTCGCCTTGCCTACAAACAAAAAACAAATCCTGTCCCACCAGATGTTCTTCTGTCATCTCCAGATACTAGGACATGCTCCATATTATTAAATATTAAATCACATCTCTTACAGTTGAAGGACACTTGGTTCTTGTGTTGAAATGTACTCAAGAGGATAAACCATTTTGTCTTTAAGAGAACTTTAAAGAACTCCCAGAAGCTTCAGAACATACAAAAAAAACATGTTCAGAAAGCTTTGTTTTACATTTCAGTGCAAACAGATAACTTATGCAAGAATGCTACCATCTGCTGTCCATAATAGTGAACTGATGCTCTTTTCCATTGAGAAAAACTGCCAGTTTGCATTGAAAATCCTTTCTAATTATCTGCTGGCTTAAATGACACTACATCTCTAAATAATGCTCAAAAAGACAGAGTTGGTGCCAATGATATTCCTCAAAGATAACAAAAAAAAAGACAGTTAATTTTTATGAAACTGGAAGGAAAAAAATCTAAGAACAAGGAACAATTTCAACCAACTTCCTTATATGAAGACAAAGTGTAAAGAGAGAATAGACGCTCCCCAAAGAAATGAAAAAGATCATCTGGGCTTCAAATGCATATCATAAAAACAATTTTTGAAAAGGACCATTCAGACAAGTCATTCCCAGTTATCCTTTGCCCTGGTCTTTGGTTCTAGCCTGAATTTCTTGCTTTAGCAAATCAGCAGTGAGTGAGCAATGGAGACCAGGGCTGCTTTTTGTGAAAGAGCTTATTAAGTTCATATTCTGTATTTTTCTACTTTTAGTGCTTTCTCATTTTACAACACGGTAGAGGGGGACAGGAAAGCCTGTGGAACTCCAGCAATCAGGTGTACATATGGAAAAGCATTGCTGCTGAGTTTTTCAACAGGATAATGTTCTTGGCCCCACCATGTCCGATATCAATTTATGGCACAGGAGGCCATGACAGATGTGAAACCCGCTCACACTCCCCATTCCCTGCAGTGTCTCCACCAGTCTTACAGGAGGTGGAAAGGCACTTATTTCCTTCCTGATCTAGTGGATATAAAGGGAGAGGTGTTTGTTACAGGACCAAGACATCAGCTCCTGGGTTGTTATTAAGCCTCTGAGAACATTTAATTTCAGTTTCTCAAACCCTCCTCCCAACTAGTCTTCTATGTTCTCCTTTCATTAACATCTCAAGTCGCTTCCTACGCTTTCTGAAGCAACAGCACTGCCAGAGTGACCTAAATCTCACTGTAATCCATAGAACTATGAATTGTAAACCAGAAACCATCTAGGAGTTTATTAGCTTCTTGCTGGCCAGGCTCTGGGAATGGCAGATGCCCTCAAGGTGGCTTTTTTTAAACACTGAGGAAGACAGAGTGGCTTTGGTTTCCAGTTACTAGGGTATCTTTGCAAACAGAGTGCTGTCAATTATTTGTTTACCTCTAATCCAGGAAACTGAAATTCATTATTATACTGATCCTTCAGCAAATACAGTCTGCAGGCATCATCTCAAGAACAGTTATGTCTAAAGTGGGAATTTTTCAATAAGTTTACAGCACGCATGTGTTTTTTTTCATCCTAAGTAACAGGGATGAAATAGAAAGAATGCCATACTGCTCAGAACTGTTGAAAGCCTGAAAAATAGGAATATGCCACACATTGCATGTCTGACAGGAAAAATACAAAAGCACAACAGATTAAAAGAAATCTTGAGCCAAGGCCCATTAAGCAGGAGCTCACAAAAGCCTCTAAAAAGGGAAAAGGCTGAGGCAAGGAAGAATAGCTGTTAAACAATCGAGGAAAACATTCGGATGGCATCAGATCTGATTCAGGCAAGTCCTAAAATCCAAATCCTGTACATAATGGCATCCCTATGAGGCTTAATGTACACTCAAGGTTAAATCACTGACACAGCACTCTGAGGAGGAAGTATCGCCCAGCTGCCAATCGAAATGTAAGAGTTATCAAAACACTGAATTTTGGAATTGATATTGGCCTAGAGAGGCTTTTTCTTGCCAGGTCGCCAGCTCGAATCTGGCAGAGCAACCAGGAGCCAGAAGTGCTCGTGGTGCAATGGCTGCATTTGCGGTTGTCGGGTTTTACACAATCCAAGGGGCGTTAATGAGTGCCCCTGCTGGCAGGCGTTGCAGGTGAGCTCAGGCCTGGAGATAGACAGAGCTTCATCTCCTCACCCTGGGGGCAGCCGGTGTGGGCTGGCACTATAGCATCCCCACAGCACAACCAGGAATCTTGTGCTTTTCCTGCTCTTTGTATGTCCCGAAGGCTGCAACTCCCCACTGTGATGAACCCCAAGTCTTGCTCAAACACTCTCAGAGGTGTTTATTGCAAGAATGAATGGAAGTTTGTTCTGTATCAGCTTCATGAGCATATTTACTATCCACCACAGCCATGTGATGGAATGATGATGCTCCATGTGTAGTGAAATGTGTCCTGGGCTAACTTCCCCAGCAGCAACATAGCCTTCAGCCACTGCCATCCCTGCATCAACTGCATGAAAAATACAAAGTCATACAGGGATTTCAGGCAAAAATTCAATCTAAATAATAAGCAATCCTCTCACATTTTAGTTTAGAATTAATCTTTTTTTCCCAATATGTCAAGTAGAAATACACTTTCAGAGCACGGTGTGCAAGTTTCAAGCCAATAACCACAATTACTTGCTGGCAGTGTACAGAAAGAACCCATCTATGGGTTGCTCAACTCCTCTGGTCAGTTAACAGACTGACAGACAGAGATAGTTTATTTAAAATCAACAATATTCCTTTCTTCAGTGGCTCATAATACTATCTGTTCAGCAGCATACACTGGAATCCATCATACATCTGCATATCTCTTCTGAGTGTGGCTCCACTTCCATGGGAAATTGAATTTTCACAGGCAGCAATGAGCTCCGGTGAATGTGTACACTCAGAATGTTGCTTCCCTTACTTTCTGTAGAAAGATCTCTTTATTAGGTGACAACAAGAAAGATTTGTAAGGATGTTCAGTACCCATTTCCGTAGCTGTTACCTCAACTTCTCTCATACAAACCCATATAAAAGACAGATGGATGAAAGATGTGAAATGTCGCACTGGGTAGGTTGAAAATGAATGCAGTTTTGTTTAGGGATGCCACACGAGCCTGAATGGCACTGAGTGCTGGCAGCACAAGAGCTCCCTGTTAGTTGGGCAGCTGGAACCACCCGTGCACGTCTTCTGAGCCGCCTCGTGACCATACTGACCATAAACTCACCTTAAACTGGTGAGCTTAAACACCGAGCTTCCTGTCAGACCGCGCCTGAGCCACTGGCCACAGCAGAAAAGAAACACGAGCCATTGGCTCCCACAGGGCTGAAAATCTGTTCATTGTAGCAGCACCTTTTCCCATGTGGTGTAAGAAGGCCCGTCCTGACAAAGGCTCTCAGGGATGGGAAGACTTGATCTTTCACCCATTCTATCATCATGTATTAATGAAATTGGACTGTCCCTTCCAAGGTCGTGAAGGTTTAAAATATAAAATCGTAACTTCCTCCCCTGTCTTCTATAATAC